TTTTTTTAATTGAAAAGCCCCTTATTTATTAATGTGTCTTTTCACAGCTTCAAAAAGAGCCTGGGCAGCAGATCAAGTTGAGGGCTCAGGCGCTCCTTTACCCAGTGCTCCAGGCTTTGGATCTCAAGACGCCTTCATATCAGCAGAATCAAGACATGCCCATTCTGCCACGCACTCTCATGGTGCGGTTCTGGAGCGAGTATTTCACTAGCAATAAAGCCCTCTTTAGAGCCATGATGGCCAATGCACACAACAGCCCAGAGTCCTCGAGGCTGCTGAAGTTTGTGAACTGGAGCGCCTTTCTTCCAGAAGTATATCACAAAGAATACAACTACAGTGCTCCTGCTGTAGCACAGGGACTTGGAGACGATGGGAATGGGATGGATGGACCGTCTCAGCTATTCGCCGACCCGAGGGCATCGCCTTTGCTCGTCCCTGATGCAGACTTAAACTCTCTGCCCAAGGCCTACATTCTGACGTGCGAGTATGATGTTCTTAGAGATGATGGGATCATGTATGCTACACGACTCCAAGCAGCGGGGGTTGAGGTAACACACCAGCACTATGACTCAGGATTTCATGGCGCACTGATGTTCACAGTGTGGCCAACTGACTTTCTTATTGCACGTCGCATGACAGACAACTACATTAAATGGCTCAAGGAAAATTTGTAATAAATAAAAACAGCAAAACACCAGACTATTCCAGCTTTGTTCCATGCAATGCATTAATGTATGAATGTTGAATGTTGAATGTTCCTGAGACTTTTTTCCATCCGTTTTTTAACCTTTTGTGGTGTACTTATTTGGTTATAATTTTTTGTTTAAATATGCTAATATCCTCTCTCTTTCTGATGTTAGTTTGATCTTATTTGTGAACTGTAGTGAACGCATTTTTTTGTATTTAAGGTGGCTTAATGAAATAACATATAGATATCAATTTGCTTGATAGAAATGTGAAAATAATGTAAAGATAAAACCAGGCCATAATGTTAGTTTATTGGACAGTTTAAAAGTATTTTCTCTTTTCCTCCACAGGATTTTCAATTAGATCGCTTGTTTATTTTATCTGTATTATTGTTAATAGTGAGTGAATACCTCTGGAAGTAAAGCTATCCCTGCAGGGAATTTCAGAATTCGCTAGAAGTGTATTCAAAGCAGGAAATAATTTTTTTTCCAAATGCCTCTTTGGCCAAAGTTAACATTTATCATGCTGTGCACATTCCTTAATTTAAGTATCTATAAATGACCTAAGCTTATAGTTATATTGATCTCATTGTGATCAATGACTCATTGGTCAAAACGAGTCATTAAAAATTGGACATATCTTGTCTATTCCCACCGTATTTATGCTTGCTTCCACAAACAACCAATCTAAAAAATTTTGGCTCTTAGAATGTCATGTCAGTAAAATTTTATAAAACATTTTTTATCTGTCTGAAAAACTTGTATACTTAAATTACTAGTTGTTTACACGTTCATTGAGCTTGCATAGTTGGGTCTGAAACACTGGAATGAGAAAGAGAGTTCAGTCTAAAGAAAGACTTTAGTAAATATCAATAAAAAAAAATGACCTTATCTTTAAAGAGGATCCAGCTGAAAAAATGATCACATGTATTCTGTTGCAGAATTTTTCAGCATTAGTGTTAGCATTAGTACCTACCACTCATGCAATCAAACAAAAGCAGTCTCTTAAACTCCATACACAAAACTTGGATCTGTCAGAAAAAGTTGGAAGTAAAAGAACTAGTTTAATGACTACATTTGAAATATGGATTTCATTTTAATCTGAAGATTAATGACTGGTCATTTATATGTCTACCCCTGGTTTCTAAATTGAAATTGTGGAAATTATGTCTTGATTAAAATTATATGGATTTCAAGACCAAAGAGTTGTAATTTAAAATATAATATGCTAAATTAGGGACATTATTACTATAACATTAATAATGACAATGTCACTACACTTATTGCCACCAGTTCTGCTACTACTACTTTATGTAATATTGTTACTTTCCCATATGCCCAACGTTGTTATTCTTTTTGCCTCAACACATTCTAGGATGTACAGTATATATAATTTTGGTTCATTGTTTTTCAAATGTAAAAAAAATATGGATATAATTTCAGAGTTTAATGTAAATGGTAATAAACTGATTCAATTTTGCTGCTGAATAATAATTCTTGGTATTTTAAACATAGTGTAGGGACAATTTTTTTCTGTATGTGTCTTTATCATTATACAGATCATAATTGGACTTAGTGTGGGACCAAATGTACTTTTAAAGTGTTACTTTAACACTGCAACATTTATTTGTGTATATACACAGTAGACTGTGCTTTGTAATGTAATGCAGAAGGTCTGGAGATGCTACGTTGGTGTTGCTTCTATATCCTGAACTAGGAGGGAGAGTGTCAGAGTATGCAGCCACTATGGCAGTGTTTTTCAATCCTGGTCCTCAAGGCACCCTGCTCTGCATGTTTTGGATGTTTCTGAGGTTCAGCACACCTGATTCAGATGATTGCAGTTCAGCAAAGCCTGATAATCTGCTATCAATTCATAACAGGTGTGTGACAGCTGGGAAACATCTAAAACATGCAGGGCAGGGTGCCTTGAGGACCAGGGTTGAAAAACACTGCACTCTGGTGACAGCCTCTGCTGGCACCGGCCATTACACAGTCTCTGCTGGCAACGGCCACTACGCAGCCACTATGGTGACAGTCTCTGCTGGCAACGGCCACTACGCAGCCACTATGGTGACAGTCTCTGCTGGCACTGGCCACTTCGCTGCCCCTATGATGACAGTCTCTGCTGACAGCGGCCACTACGCTGCCCCTATGATGACAGTCTCTGCTGACACCAGCCACTACACAGCCACTATGGTGACAGTCTCTGCTGGCAACGGCCACTACACAGCCACTATGGTGACAGTCTCTGCTGGCACTGGCCACTATGCAGTTACTATGGCGAGAGTCTCTGCTGGCAACGGCCCCTACGCAGCCACTATGGTGACAGTCTCTACTGACACCGGCTACTACGTTGACAGTTTCTGCTGGCAATGGCCACTACACAGCCACTATGTTGACAGTCTCTGCTGGCAATGGCCACTACGCACCCACTATGGTGACAGCCTCTGCTGGCACTGGCCACTACGCACCCACTATGTTGACAGAAAAAAGCTGTTTTTCGTTAAATAACTTCTGTTTCTTTATTTCTTACTCATTATTCTTGCCATATTTTGGCAAATGATATATTTATAGTATCTCTAAGTAGATTGTTGTTATATTATTGGGATGTTATTGCTTAAGTGGCCAGTGGCACCCGCCACTCTGCAGCCACTAGGATTGATATATATATATATATATATATATATGCAGACCCTGGGAGCTTAAAAACTTTCTTAGATGTTTTATGTCTCTTACTTACTAACAAAGGCTAACTACTTTCTAAATAACAAGTGTTCCAGTTTTTTGAAAAATGATCATGTTGGTTAGCACTTTTTGTTTTCTTGCGTAGTATCGTCAGTAAATGGTTACTGTAACTCCGACCCTTTTTCAAAGTTTCAGTAAAACACACAAAGCATAGTAATTGGTTTGTAACCCTTGATAACCCAAGGCAAGGTTTTTCTTTTTGGTGTCCTATTTGACAGAAGATACTTTTTGACACTTCTGTCATACGTTGTTGTCATAACCTTCTCCAAACCCTATCTTGCAACCAAGCGACATATGGACAGGATCGGAACCTAGTACCCCCGACTGCAGACCGAAGATCGGGGTGACAATGAAAATAAATCATTAAATAAGTTATTTGCCAAAAAATGGAAAAAAAATTAAAATAAAAAATAAAATAGGATAAGTTATTTAACGAAAACAGGCCTCTGCAGCAACCAAAATGGTGTCAGTAAACCTGGGAGTCGATCAGGCAGCCTAGTTGCGTAGTACCCGG